AGAAGCTTTCTTGGGGCCCATGGTGACTTATTTTGCAAAAACAAGCACCAAACACAGTGATAATATGGATAATATGGAATGTACCGAATGTATCCTTAGATGCGCGCACACTGGCTGGCTTGTAAACACTGGCACACACGGGGCAGTTCAGGCCACACGTGGACACGTCTCATACGAATTGTATCGAATGTCGGGTTTTCCATCGAATGTCGAAGCGAAATTTTTGCGTTAAAATGCATCGAATGTCAGATTTATCGAATGTCGGGGGTCCACTGAATTCTTAACCCTGAGGTTATCCCAGTAATACAAGATCATTACAAAGTATGCTTAACCCTGAGGTTATCCCAGTAATACAGTGGAACCTCAAATTTTGAACGTATCGCTTATCAAACTCTTCGAAAATCGATCGTTTTTTTCGAACTAACTTTCTCCCTATTATTGAACTCGTCCCATATTTTCGAACCACCGGGTACCGGACCTGTCCGCCAGCCTGCTCTGTCCGCGTCCCCGCGCAGGTGCCGTGAGCCAGTTTGGCTTTGTTGATGCTTGAGTGAACACTAACCTGTGCTCTCATTCAAACTTATACGATTAATTCATTGTGTTTAGTGCTTGTGGGACTGTGAAATAAGCTACCATGGGCCCAAAGAAACTTATTGTGGTACCCCTGTGGTAAAGAAAGTGAGAAACACCATAGATGTGGTGATGGCAAGTGACAGTGCTTCAAAGACGATTATTAGTGAAAAGGCGAGGAAATTGCATGCTGATTTAAAGATTAAGGAGATTTGCGCCAAGTAGAATGATGTCCAAATGTTCGTGGAGAAGTACCGCCCTGAGCAAGCTGAAACAAGCCATCTTTGCAACAAGTTCAGTGACAGAACCATGTCCCATTTTAGAGGAAATCTTAAAGAGGCACCAGAAACAGAGGACTGTGGACAGTTATTTTGTGAGACAGGGGTCCAGTGACTCTCAAGCTGGTCCTAGTGTCATTAAAAGACAGAGGGGAAGTAACCCCAAAGAGGGCTTTAATACCTAAAGTCCTTATGGAGGGGGATTCCCCTTCCAAACACTAATCCCAACTCCCTCTCTCCTCCTCCCTATCTTCCGGATGCCATCACCAATCTTCAATAAAGGCAAGTAAAAATGTTATATGTTTATTTAAATTTATTAATACATAATTGTACACTGTATTTGTTGTATGTAAAACTATAATTAATCTCTATAAAATGTATTTTTTTTTGTGAATATTTTTGGGTTTCTGGAATGGATTAATTGTATTTCCATTATTTCTTATGGGAAATATTGCTTCGCTTTTCAAACTTTTCGAATTTAGAACTAGCTCCTGGAATGGATTAAGTTCGAAAATTGAGGTTCCACTGTACAGTGGACCCCCGAGTTTCGTGATTAATCCGTTCCAGAGAGCCCGCTGAAGGTCGAAATTCACGAAACTCGAAACCATTTTCCCCGTAAGAAATAATAGAAATAAAATTAATCTATACCAGACACCCAAAAATATTAAAATATTTTTTTCAAATTTAAAAATTAAAGTTTTAAACATAATGAAAACTCGAAATCATTTTTTCCCAGGGCTTTTTAAAAAAAATAATAAAAAACATTCCCTTTTACCTTTACAAAAAGGGATTTTGGGGAGGGAAAGAGGGAAAAGGGGGGGGATAGGAGGGGGGTTGTCCCTTTTTTTTTGGGAAAGGGGGGGAGTCCCCTTAATTAGGACTTCGGGGGTTTTGGGAAGCCCATTTTGGGGTTATTCCCTTCTTCTTTTAATCCCCTTGGGACCAGTTTGGGCGGCCCCCACGGGGCCCCTGTCGCAAAAAATATCTGTCCAGAGGGGTTTCTGTTTCGGGGGGCTTTTTCTTTTAAGATTTTCCCCGAAGGGGGGCACAACACTGTCATTGTACTTTTGAAAAAACGGCCCGCAACAGCTTTGTTAGGGAAAAATGTTCATCCATAATTGTTTTTCCATTGTCCCTTTCCCCAAATTTTCCTTTTTCTTTGAAGAAAGGGACCTCCCCATCTCTCTTTCCTTTCCCCCTCTGCAGCCCGTTTTTCCCGGCTGTGATCTGTTGCTGTTTTCTGTTTAAGCTCTTGACTTTCAGTGGTTAGCTCTTCCCCGTGGGCCTCCCCCAAAACTTCCACATCCTCACCACTCACCTCCAACCCCAGGGACATCCCCAATGCTACAATAGTTTCCACAACTGGCATAGGTTCCTTAGGGTCAGCCAAAAACCCTTCAAAATCCCTCTCTTGTACACAATCTGGCCACAAATTTCTCCAAGCAGAGTTCAAAGTCCTGGAAGTCACTCCCTCCCAAGACTTACCTATAAGGTTTATGCAATGGAAGATATTAAAGTGATCTTTCAGGAACTCTCTTAGGGTCAATTCTGTGTCTGAGGTCACTTCAAAGCACTTCTGAAACACTGCTTTGGTGTAGAGTTTTTTTGAAGTTTGAAATGACCTGCTGGTCCACGGGCTGGGGGAGAGTAGTGGTATTAGGAGGCAAGAACTTCACCGTGATGAAACTAAACTCCTCCACTATTTGCTCTTCCAGGTCTGGAGGATGAGCAGGAGCATTGTCCATTACCAGGAGGCACTTGAGTGGCAATTTATTTTCCAGGAGGTATTTCTTCACACTGGGGCCAAACACTTCATTAAACCAGTCTAAGAAAATTCCTCTTGTGACCCATGCCTTACTGTTAGCCTTCCACATCACACACAAGTTACTCTTGGTGACACTGTATTTCTTGAACACTCTGGGATTTTCAGAGTGATACACCAGTAAAGGCTTCACTTTAAAATCCCTACTAGCATTACTACAAAACATGAGAGTAAGCCTGTCTTTCATAGGCTTGTGTCCTGGGAGTGCCGCTTCCTCCTGCATGATGTAGGTCCTCTTCGGCATTTTCTTCCAGAAGAGGCCTGTTTCGTCACAAACACTTGCTGGGGTTTGAATTCTCCAGTGTCTACGCACTCCTTAAACTCCTGTACAAACTTCTCAGCTGCTTTTTTGTCAGAAGTGGCAGCCTCACCATGCCTTATCACACTGTGAATGCCACTACACTTCTTAAATCTCTCAAACCAACCTTTCCTGGCCTTAAAATCACAAGCATCACCACTTGTTGCAGGCATGTTCTTTACGAGATCGTCATGCAACTGCCTTCCCTTTTCACATATCGACTGCGTAACACAATCTCCTGCTAAATGTTTTTCGGTAATCCACACCAACAATAACCTCTCCACTTCTTCGAGGATTTGTGATCTCCTTTTTGTCAGCATATCCACCCCTTTTGCAACAACAGCACACTTTATTTCCTTTCCTTTCGCCATGATCGAAGTGATGGTTTTGAATAGGGCTTGCCATACACCCTGGCAAGCTCTGTAACACGCACCCCACTTCATATTTTTCAATGATTTCCTTCTTAAAATTCGATCGTGTTCCTCACTTTCTTTACCAAAGTGCTTGCACTAGCTTTCCTTGGGCTCATGGTTACTTATTTTGCAGCTGTAATCACAAAAAAAAAATGGATTATTACGTATGAACCCGCGGGGGTGATGGCCACGTGTTGGTAAACAATGGCACACTGAGCGTGAAAGGGATGGGAGACTGGCTTTGTGTGTGTGGTGAGGGCGGACGGGTACCAACCCCTCGCCGAAACACGAGTTTTTTCCGAAACTCGAGGCCAAATTTTTTCCAAAAAAAAACTCAACCGAAGGTCGAATTTCACGAAAATCGAGGCTGCCGAAACTCGAGGGTCCACTGTATAAGGTTATTACAAAGTATTCTTAACCCTAAGGTTATCCCAGTAATACAAGGTTATTATGAAGTATTCTTAACCCTGAAGTTGTCCCAGTAATACAAGGTTATTAAAAAAGATTCTTCCCTTGGTTATCCCTGTTTTTAATAAACTTTGTCTAAGAAGGTGTAAACAGTGGTTAACCTTGTTTAAGACGGGCTCTCTGGAGGGGAACTTTTCCTAAAAGATGGTGACCTACAGTTGAGGCAACAGTTATTGATGTCGGGTGCTATGGTAACCGGGGATGTGATGGGGGAGATATGGTAGCTCCCTTTGACTTATCAGGACATGTGGCATCGAACAAGGTTTCCTCCCTTACGAACTGTTGTGTTTTCACTTTAAAATTTTCATAACAGAGTTAAAAAAGTTCAGCTTCGCTTGGGAAATTTTTAAAATAGATGTATAAAAAATTAATTTTCCTCCACGTGTTTTTTTTAAAATTATGAGTTGTTGAACCCCACGGGTTTATTGGTTATTGTAAGTTGTTTATGCCACTTGTTGTTGTTTAAATTTTTGAGCTTTTTTAAAGCCTGGTATTGGGGGTTTTTGTAAAGTGAGGCCTGAATAAGCAGTTGATGGAAAGAATGACAATATGAACAATAGTTGGGAAAATGCCTCAAACACACAATTCAAGGCCCCTTTCATTGCCCCGGCTCTTAGTAATAGATTTTTAGTCGCTGAGCGCTAGTTAACGAGCACTGCAGCTCATGCTGTGAGTGCAACACAAAAAAAAAAGGATTACAGAGGTCATAATGGGTCTTTGTCAAAACCCCAATGAGCACTGTTTATTACTAGAAAGGTTTTATTAGTAATTTCACATTTTTACACTTACTTCATAAAGTTGTTTTATATAGTACAGTAAGGAATACAATCCAAAAAATGCTTTCTTATAACTAAAGAAAAGCACTAAAAACATTGGTCATAGTGATAGGATACAGCAGTATCCTATCACAGGCAGAAGTGGTTGGTCTCAAAGATCGTAATCCTCTTTCATCATGAAATTAATCACACAAACTAGCTTGGTTTTTATGTTAAACTTTCTCAACATCCTCAATCAGTAAGGCATCAATGCTACATTTTTCTGACCAGGAAAAAAAACTGAATGTAAACTCTGTAGTCACTTGAATGTTACGACCATTTATCTTCCTTTCCTGAAATCTCTACAATAGGAAAAGAAAAGGACAATATAGGCCAATGATCAGTATAGTATATCAATTGATACTGACACAGTCTCTAAAATTACCTTGGGCCAGTGCAAAGTAATTCTTTTCAGTTCTGTGCCAATACCAACAACACTAGCATCGGTAGTCAGACAAAACTCTAGTAAAAATTTAGGAATTTTAAGAATATGAAGTGATGTTAATTACAACTCTTGACTGCTAGTTCACTCAACTGGATATTATTCTTAAAGAGATGAAAAACTGAAACACCATTGGTATAAAAATTTGCATTATCTGTGAAATAAAACAAGTCTTATTGTTCTTACTTGTAAGATGGAACATGTTGCTTAAATGTAAACAACGTGATTATTAACAACTTTTCTTGCTTGTACGATGAAAGATGACACTCAAATGCAAGAATATGGTCACTAACGTTTTTTCTTTTGTAGGACGGAAGATGTGCTTCAATGCAAACAATGGGCCGTTCAGTCACAGGCATTTGTGAAGATCCAGTTCCTGAGTGAATCTTCCTTGCTGTCAGCTGTCAGTATTGTTGGACCAGTCTCTGTTGGCATTGATGCCTCTCACATTTCCTACCAGCTGTACAACTCTGGTAATTTGTACACACACACACACACACACAACACCCCACACACACCACACACACACACACACAAAACACACACAACACACCCCATCAACACAGATGTAGGGAGGCAGGATCCATACATAGCTTTAAGCAGAGTTATGATAAAGCTCACGGTTCAGGGAGAGTGACCTAGTAGCGATCACGAAGAGGCGGGGGCCAGGAGCTCGGATCGACCCTGCAACCTCAACTAGGTGAGTACAACTGGTACACACACCCACACACACACACACACACACACACCATTTTGGAAACCCCACACCAGCCAAGCATGTAAAGAAACTAGAGAAAGTGCAAAGGTTTGCAACAAGCTAGTCCCAGAGTTAAGAGGTATGTCCTATGGGAGAGGTTAAGGGAAAACAATCTGACGACACTGGAGGACAGGAGAGATTTGGGGGGGACATGATAAGACATACAAAAATACTGAGAGGAATTGGCAAGGTGGACAAAGACAGGATGTTCCAGAGACTGGACACAGCAACAGGGGGCACAGTTGGAAGCTGAAGACACAGATGAATCAAAGGGATGTTAGGAAGTATTTCTTCAGCCACAGAGTAGTCAGGAAGTGGAATAGTTTGGGAAGCGATGTAGTGGAGGCAGGATCATACATACCTTTAAGCGAGGTACAATAAAGCTCATGGTTCAGGAGAGTGACCCAGTAGTGAAACCCGTGAAGAGGGGGGGCAGGAGCTTGGACTCGACCCCTGCAACCTCAACTAGGTGAGTACAACTAGGTGAGTAAAAAAAAAAAACACACACACAGGATGTTCCAGATGAGACACAGCAACAAGGGGACACAGTTGGAAGTTTAAAGACACAGATGAATCACAGGGATGTTAGGAAGTATTTCTTCAGCCACAGAGTAGTCAGGAAGTGGAATAGTTTGGGAAGTGATGTAGTGGAGGCAGGATTTTATACACAGCTTTAAGCAGAGGTATGATAAACTCACAGTTCAGGGGGAGAGTGACCCAGTACCAAACCCGTGAAGAGGCAGGCCAGGAGCTTGGACTCGACCCCTGCAAACCCCAACTAGGTGAGTGTAACACACACAAAACACACACACACCCCACACACACACACACACACACACCCCACACACACACACACACACACACACACACACGCACACACACACAAAGTCATGGAGAAGATTTTCAGGAGAAGAGTGGTGGAACACCTAGAAAGGAATGATCTCATCAACAGCAGCCAACATGGTTTCAGGGATGGGAAATCCTGTGTCACAAACCTGGAGTTCTATGACATGGTGACAGCAGTAAGACAAGAGAGAGAGGCATGGGTGGATTGCATTTTCTTGGACTGCAAGAAGGCGTTTGACGCAGTTCCACACAAGAGATTAGTGCAAAAACGGGGGGACCAGCAGGGATAACAGGGAAGGCACTACAATGGATCTGGGAATACTTGTCAGGAAGACAGCAGCGAGTCATGGTACGTGGCGAGGTGTCAGAGTGGGCACCTGTGACCAGCAGGGTCCCACAGGGTCAGTCCTAGGACCAGTGCTGTTTCTGGTATTTGTGAACGACATGACGGAAGGAATAGACTCCAAAGTGTCCCTGTTTGCAGATGACGTGAAGTTGATGAAAAGAATTCATTCGATCGAAGACCAGGCAGAACTACAAAGGGATCTGGAAGGCTGCAGACCTGGTCCAGCAATTGGCCCCTGGAGTTCAACCCCACCAAGTGCAAAGTCATGAAGATTGGGGAAGGCAAAGAAGACTGCAGACTGAGTACAGTCTAGGGGCCAGAGACTACAAACTTCGCTCAAGGAAAAAGACCTTGGGGTGAGTATAACACCAGGCACATCTCCTGAAGCGCACATCAACCAAATAACTGCTGCAGCATATGGGCGCCTAGCAAACCTCAGAACAGCGTTCTGACACCTTAATAAGGAATCGTTCAGGACCTTGTACACCGTCTACGTTAGGCCATATTGGAGTATGCGGCACCAGTTTGGAACCCACACCTAACCAAGCATGTAAAGAAAAAACTAGAGAAAGTGCAAAGGTTTGCAACAAGCCTAGTCCCAGAGCTAAGAGGTATGTCCTACGAGGAGAGGTTAAGGGAAATCAACCGGGTGACACTGGAGGACAGGAGAGATAGGGGGACATGATAATGACATACAAAATACTGAGAGGAATTGACAAGGTGGACAAAGACAGGATGTTCCAGACATGGGACACAGCAACAAGGGACACAGTTTGGAAGTGAAGACACAGATGAATCACAGGGATGTTAGGAAGTATTTCTTCAGCCACATAGTCAGGACGTGGAATAGTTTGGGAAGCGATGTAGTGAAGGCAGGATCCATACATAGCTTTAAGCAAGGAACGATGAAGCTCACAGTTCAGGGAGAGTGACCTAGTAGTGACAAGTGAAGAGGCAGGGCAGGAGCTTGACTCAACCCCTGCAACCTAAACTAGGTAGGTGAGTATGTACCCACACACACACACACACATACACATAACAGGGCCAGGAGCTTGACTCGACCCCCGCAACCTCAACTAGGTGAGTACAACTAGGTGTGTACAGATCAGTCACATTGATGTTAGGAAGTACTTCCTGAGTGATAAGAGTTGTTAGGAAGTGAAACAGCCTGGAGAGTGATGTGATGGAGGCAGGATCCATACATAGCTTTAAGAAGAGATATGATAAAGCTCATGGAGCAGGGAGAGAGTAGACCTAGTAGCGACTAGTGAAGAGGCAGGGCCAGGAGCTGACTCGATGCCTGCAACCACAATTAGGTGAGTACACACACACACATGATAAGATCAGATAAGGCTCTTGGAGCCGGGAGTGAGTGAACCTAGTAGCAACCAGTGAAGAGGTCCAGCAGCAATACGAGAATGACATAGTATTGAAAGCCAAATCTGACCCAAAGCTGTTATACAGCCACATCAGGAAGAAAAAAAAAGTCAACAACCAAGTAATCAGGATGAGAAAGGAAGGAGGGGAGATCACAAGAAAAGACCAAGAAGTATATGAGGAGCTTAGCACGAGATTTAGGTACTTACCTAAATCTTACTTACCTAAATTTCAGTGGAGCAGAAAGGTTTTCAGCAAACCAAGATGATAGATACACTAACAAGTGATGGACACACTACACACAACCGCAGAAGTAAAGGACTGCTATGCAAACTAGACACCTCAAGGCGGTGGGCCCCTGACACCTCTCCACGGGTCCTGGAGAGAAATCAGAGCATTGTGTGTGTCACTAACAACAATCTTCAAGACATCTATCGGTGTAGAAGACAGCAAATACAGAAATGAGCCAGACAGGCTGCATCAATCTACAGACTAGTGTCACTGACATGTATAGTTTTGCAAGGTCATGGAGAGATTATTGAAGAGTGGTGGAAAACCAAGAATGGAATGAGCTTACACTGATAACCAACATGGATTCAGGAAGGGCAAATCCTGTGTCACAAAACCTACTGGAATTTTACAGGGTAACAGAAGACAGGAGAGAGAGAGCGGTGGGCAGACTGCATTTTCTTGGACTGAAAGAAGACTTTTGACACAGTTCTGCGCAAGAAATTAGTGCGACAGCCAGAGGAAAAGGCAGGATTAACAGGAAAAGCACTGCAATGGATCAGGGAATACCTGATGGGAAGGCTCAGCGAGTCATGGTATGTGACAAGGTGTCAGAATTGGTGCCTGTGACGAGTGGGGTTCCACAAGGGTCAGTCCTAGGACGGGTGCTGTTTCTGATATTTATGAATGACATGACGGAGTAATAGATTCAGAGGTGTCCATGTTTGCAGATGATGTGAAATTGGTGTGGAGATTCAAGCAGATGAGGATCAGGTAGGGCTACAAAGGGATCTGACAGGCTGCAAACCTGGTGCAACAAATAGTTCCTGAAATTTAACCCCACCAAATGAAAAGAGTCATGAAGACTGGAAATATCAAAGAAGATTGCACATGGAGTACATGCTAGAGGGGTCAAAGGTTGCAAACCTCACTCGAGAAAAAGGCTCTTGGAGTGAGCATCATACAGAGCAGACATCTCCTGAGGTGTAAGAGTGTCATTCAGATACTGTACACCATGTATGCCAGGCCCATATTGGAGTATGCAGCATTAGTATGGAACCCACACCTGTCAAGCACGTCATAAATTTGAGAAAGCTCCAGCTCCAGAAATTAGAGAGAGTGCCATAGCTCCAGAGCCAACAAGACTGGCCCTGGAGCTATGGGTATGTCCTACAATGAGAAGTTAAGAGAAATCAACCTGACCACACTGGAGGGGAGGAAGGATATGGAGGACTTGATAATGACATAAAATACTAGAGGAAGTGACAAGGTGGATAGGGACAAAATGTTTCAGAGATCAGACACAGCAATAGATGAGTCACAAGGATGTTAGGAAGTCTTTTTCAGTCATAGAGTTGTCAGGAAGTGGAACAATTGGAGAGTGATTTTGTGGAGGCGGGGATCTATACATACCTTCAAGAAGAGAACAATAAAGCTGTTGGAGCAGAGAGAGAGTGTGGACCTAGTAGCTACCAGTGAAGAGGAGCTGTGAATAAACCCCCTGCAACCACAAATAGTCAAGTACAAATAGGTGAGTGCACACACGTTTGCAACACTCTCGCATAGCATGCGGGAGTGTCCGGATTCAATCCCGGCTGGGTAGACACTTGGGTATGTTTCCCTTACACCTGTTGTCACTGTTCACCTAGCAGTAAGTAGGTACGTACCTGGGTGTTAGTCGATTGGTGTGGATGGCATCCTGGGGGACAAGACTGAAGGACTATAATGGAAATAAGACAAACAGTCCTCGATGACACACTGTCTTTCTTGGGTTATCCTGGGTGACTAACCCTCCGGGTTAAAAATCCGAGCAAATCTTATCTTAAGATGTCCTCTTTAAATGAGAGATAACCAGGTTTAATTCACAGAATGAGGGGGGTAACTCCCATTCTTTGTTTCAAGAGTCCTTCACCCCCATCACCTTTCTTGAAGGAAGTCATAGTCAAAAATTGTTTTTGTTTAAAGATACTCTGATTTTCTAACGATAAAATGTGTTAATTTCATGACAGGTGTGTATTACGAGTCCCAGTGCTCACAGCTGATCCTGGATCACGGAGTTCTGGCAGTTGGCTACGGCACAGAGGGTGGAGAAGAATACTGGCTCGTTAAGAACTCCTGGGGTACCAGCTGGGGTGAGGATGGATACATCAAAATGTCTCGTGGTAGAAACAACAACTGTGGTATTGCTACTGATGCTTCCTACCCAACTGTCTAGATTTTAAAATATTCATCATTGACCCCTTGAAGAACTTCTCCTTGAATCTAGCAATGGCAAAGAAGGCTCGTTCAGTGAATCTTGCTGATGCAATATTCAACAGACACTTCAGTCAAAAATCCCAACAGGCTTCAATTTGACTGACTGATCACTTACACCTGCTCTTAAGTGAATGTTGCTAAGCCATCTTTCAACAGGCACCCGAGTAAATACGTAATTCCAACAAGCTACACCCTGACTAACTGACCTGACTAACTGACCACTTCAAGTGATGCTAAATTCAACATAGGCCAAAAAACTACTTTGATAAGCCAGTCAGACAAACATATATTACTACTTTATCAGTCATTATAAATAAGTAGTTGACCACTTGAAGGGAACTTAGTAAAGTGCAACAACTTCAAAAGGCCTATGACAAGCACTTATACTCTTATGGTGCCAGTAGAGAGAGGTTAATGATGTAAATTTGCAATAAATCTAGATTTCAATCTTTCAATTTATTTTATCCTGCTATGAGATAACTTGAAGGTTCTCTGCCCACTAGAACAAGGTTTAACATTCCTAGTGTAATTATTTTATTTAGCGAGGAAACTAATGAATTAATATATCCTAACTCTGGTAAACTTCATATAATATAAAATATTCATTTATGAGCTTTAAACGTGTTAAAATGTAGATTTTACCCACAGTGGGACTAAGGTGTTAATCTTACTCACAGTGGGACTTTAGATGTTAACCTCACTCACAGTGGGACTTGAGGTGTTAACCTCACTCACAGTGGGACTTCAGGTGTTAATCTCACTCACGGTGGGACTTCAGGTGTTAATCTCACTCACAGTGGGGCTTCAGATGTTAATCTCATTTACAGTGGGACTTAGGGGGAGCGACATGCACAGTGCGCGAGTGAAAAAAAAAATAGAAAATTATGGAAATGGAGTTAATCATATAGAAAAGTAGCTTATCACTTTGGCAACACTCTGGTATAAGTCTCATTGTTCTACAATGTTCCTACAAGGAATTATAATAATTTATAACATGTATGGTGACAATGATGCCTGTAGCTTGCCTGCTCACATGCAGTATATTTTTAGATTTTTTTTAACATTTCTTGTACATACGTATTATTCTTTCTAATACAGGTCGGCCATCATTAATCCGGCATCACTGGGACCTGTAGTATGCCGGATTAGTGAGTTTGCCAGATTATGAAGTGGTTAGGTTAGAATACAATTAACCCATCAATAGAGCCTCTTTCTGCTACATCTTCCTGATTTTCATCACTGTTATCTCCGCCACTGGCTTGCTGCTGTGGATTTACAACCATCTGAACAATTTCTGAGTCAGTATAATGATGAAATTTGAAATTATGCTAGGTGAAATTAGTGCCAGATTACTGATGGAACCGAATAACTGACTGCTGGATTAGTGACGGCCGACCTGTATAATACAGTGGACCCCCAGTATTCGATATTAACCCTTTGACTGTTTCAGGCCCCTCTCTGAAACTGTCATTCTATGTCGCCAAATATTCGAAAAAAACAAATTTTCTTATGAAAATGTTAGGAATATTTTTCTGAGTGTTTTAAGCCTAAAAAATATTTTTTGCCATCAGTACTTACCGAGATACAGAGCCACAAAGTTTGCAGAAAGTGACGTGCGTACGGGAACAGCGGCGACTGCCGCCCACCCGGTATTCTTTTATTTACTCTAATTCAAAGGTTTCTTGCATTTTTCAATATTTTTCTGTTCCAGGTAACTTATGTGGCCTGTGAGACCAATGTAAGGTGCATTCTTCAAATATACACTCATTGTTTACAACACAATAACTGAACAAACTTTATCACTATTAGTTTGTGTATACACTTTGTTTACCAAACAAACAATGAAAAAACAATGTTTATTACAAATTGTTCCATAATATATATACAAATGTACAGTCACTAAACATGTTCCTAGAACTGCTGCAGCTTGGGAACTCTTTGAAACATGGTATATGCAGAGTGGCACTTGACACTCTTCACACATAAAACGAGTGCCCTCGCGTGTTTTGGGCTTTTTTGTGGTATGTGTACATACATAAACCTCTTCTGAGCATTTTTCTTGGCAGTATAGGAGGCAGTTGAAAGGGGTAGTGATCACCAGCCTGAAACGAGATGACGTGTGTTGGTAATTTCGGGGGCGCTGGTCTATTGCAGGTGTTGCTCCTTGGTACTTTGAAATTTATTTTTCTGATTGCGACAAGCAAAATTCACCAATTTTGGGTGTTTGTTGGTTTTCAACTTGTATATGTTATAAGCATTCAGCATAGAGATATCAACAAGAGGGAAAAAAAGTTTTATATACCATTATAACTCTTGCGTACACAGTCTGCAAACCCAATCTGCTATAAACATTTCCCAACTAACCGCATATTGAGGTTGTAGTCCATGACAGCTGCAGGCTTTAGAAGGGGTTCATTGGTCTCTCTGTTGTGCCTGCCACTGTGCACCATTTCGTTTCGGTGAACTGATGTAAATAATGTGACATCACGTTTGTCATCCCACCGAAATGCCATGATGTCATTGGCAGCAAAGGCTTGCACCTCACCTCTGCGAGTGCCAGCGTCGAACCTTGGCATATGTTTAACGATTACGACGCACTGTCCCCACACACGTCTGTCAATTTCCCACCTCGCAAGAAATCACTGATAAGGGGCCTTGTGTACCAGTTATCATAAAAAACATAGCCCCTTACCAAGATATGGTTCCATCATTGTTCAAAACCACATCACCAGAGATACCCAAAAACTTCATGGTATCTCTCAAAGTATTACGCCAGTGTACACAAAAAATATCTAAAACAAGACCACTTCGCAATCACACAGTACAAATACCCTTTTATACCAAAGCGCTTCCTCTTGCTTATTTATATATTGCTTGAATGAGAGTTTTCCTTTGAATAAAATCAAGGACTCATCAATAACAAGCTTCCTGAAGGGATAAAAATACATGCAGCACTTTTGTTTCAGGTACATAAACACATTTCTTATCTTATATAACCTGGCACTTCTGTCAGGCCTGGTTTTGTCTGAAAAGGTGTAACATACTAACAGTATCAGGAAACCCACGACACCCTTAATGTCACTAAAACCTGGGGTTGAAATCCAGGTTCTGTTGCCCAGTATTGGTGACAGTGTGCTTATACACATGTGCATAAGCATTATGTGGCAAAAAACAGGTACATCTCTGCCCAGTTGTCTCCTTCCACTTGTGTAGCCATGATTTTGGTGAGAGAATTGTATTTGCCATGGTGTAATCACAGTATGTGTTTGTTTCCCTGACAATGATGTCCATCAGGGGTTCGTCGAAGAATAACTCAAAGTAGTCCAGTTCACTGGCATTGTTCCCAAGTGGACATGATGGCTTTATTCCACTTTGTGTTTCATCAAAGTTATGGGGATGGAACAAACTCGTCACCGTCCTGCCAATCCCAGATGCGGTCTGCTGGTGGGGTCTGGATATTGTACCGTGGTTGTGGTTGTGCAGGTTGTGGTTGTGCATCTTCACTATCAGGTCGTGGTGTAGGGCCACGGGATGTGCTCCCAGAGTTTCTCCTTTCCCTTGGAACAACATATGAAACACTACCAGACCGCATGCTACGTCGTACATACTGCCGCTTCACTGGGGAATATTCACCCTCACTGTCAGTAGAACTGCTTTCAATGACCTTGAAATCACTATCACTATCACATTCACTGCTATCATCTGGGTGTTGTACACGACCAAATAGTTTCCTCTTTCGTCCTGGTACAGGCGAACGTGAACGTGAACAAGCCGGCCCAGCACCAGAGGTGGAAGGTTGTGGGTCATCTGGGTTTTCATCACTAATTACGTTATCCTGGGCACTTTTTCCTGTAACACTCACTTCAAAACCCTGGAATTCACTGCACTGACATTTTCATCGCTATTAGAGCTATCACTTGGGAACATAAGACCACCAATCCGCCGAGGAGTGAGGAACTTCTTACCGAGAGGCATGGTGAAAATGGACTAACAAGATGGTGTTCCCACAATGCACCGCTGGGTCCCAGATTTTTTTCACAGGGTGCACACCGACCGCTGAGACCCATTCTCTCTCATGTAGGCCTACCAGGCCTTTCCCACTTGATTTGAAGCCGCTAGAATTTGTGCGTATAAATACGTCAGAAACATTGGCTCGTAAGACGTATTTATACGTCGTAAACAGTCGAAGGGTTAATCCGTTCCTGAGAGCTCATCGAATACCGATAATATCGAAAACCGAATCAATTTTCCTCATAAGAAATAATGGAAATCAAATTAAACGGTGCAAGACACCCAAAAGTATGAAAAAAAAAATTTTACTACATGAAATATTAAGTTTAATGCAATAGAATAATTACAATAACAATAAAGTAATTGACACTTACCTTTAATGAAGATCTGGTGATGATTGATAGGATGGGAGGAGGGGAGAGGTGTTAGTGTTTAGAAGGGGAATCCCCTTCCATTAGGACTTGAGGTAGCAAGTCCTTTTCCGGCACAATGGATTCCACAACTGGCATAGGCTTCTCAGGGTTAGCCCCAAACCCTTCAAAATCTTTCTCAATATCCATACTAATTCTCACCCTTTTTACCACAGGGTTGGCACTAGAAGCTTTCTTGGGGTCCATGGTGACTTATTTTGCAGAAACAAGCACCAAACACAGTGATAATATGGATAATATGGAATGTACCGAATGTATCCTTAGATGCGCGCACACTGGCTGGCTTGTAAACAATGGCACACATGGGGCAGTTCAGGCCACACGTGGACAGGTCTCATATGAATCGTATCGAGTACCGGGTTTTCAATCGAATACCGAGGAAAATTTTTTGCGATATAATGCATCGAATACTGGATTTATCGAATACCGGGGGTCCACTGTAATTGACTATTTGGCATCATAACAGAGAGGGTGGGGCAAAACAG